GCCTGGGTACTGTCCCTCAGCTCTTCAGCTCAAGGCTAGCACTCTACCACTTAAGCCATAGCACCTCTTCCGGCTTTTTTTTCCCTGCTTATGTGGTGCTGAGGAATCGAACCCAGGGTCTCATGCATGCAAGGCAAGCGCTCTACCACTGAGCCACCTTCTCAGCCCCTGTTTACTCCTTTTATAAAGTTGCCTTTTGATCTTTTTGTTGGCTCGTGGGCTCTCTTACTAAAATTAAGTCTAGATTTGTTCCCTGTATGGACAGCTTGGAAGAATCTGGCTTTTATTTTCTTTCTTTTGTGCCAGTACTGGGGCTTTGAACTCAAGCTCTCATGCCTTTGCTTAGGCTTTTCTTTTGTTTTTGTTGGTCATGTGGCTTGAACTGGCAGTCTGGGCGCTGTCCCTCAGCTCTTTTTGCTCAAGGCTAGCACTCTACCACTTAGAGCCTCTGCACCACTTCCAGTTTTCTGGTGGTTAATTGGAGGTAAGAGTCTTACAGACTTTCCTACTTGGGCTTGGTTTGAACCACAATCCTCAGATCTCCTCCTGAATTGCTAGGATTACAGGTGTGAGCTACTAGTGCTGGGCTCTGGCTTTTTTATTCAAGGCTGACACTATACCACTTGAGCCAGAGCTCACTTTTGTTTTTTGGTTTTTTTTTTTTTTTTACTGGCTAACTGAAGATAAGAGTCTCATGGATTTGTTTATCCTGGGCTGGCTTCAAACTGCAATCCTTATATCTTAGCCTTTTGAGTGGGTAGGATTGCAGGTATTAGCCACAGTGCTTGGCTTAGAATCTGGCTGTTTCATTAGGGAGGTTGGGCTTTCTTCTGGGCAGTGGCAACTGATGATTTCCAAAGACTGGGTGTCAGGATGTGACTTGGGGAAAGCACTTGGTCCACATAGCCCTTTCCCCATGGAAACTGTGCCTCCATTCCCCTCTGGAGTGCCTCTGCTGTGGGAGTTGTTGGCCTTTGGTACAGAGGCTCATGAGAAGGGTGGGGTAAGGAGCCTTCGCTTGTGTGTTCAGAAACTTTGTCATCCACAGGCCCTCAGGGTGACTCAGGGGGATGAGTTCACAAATCTTATCCCCTGTAGCCTCACAATGAGAAACAGGCCATCAGCCTAGGCCATGTGAGGGATGTCACAGAATGTTCAGGGCCCTGGAGATGACCACGTCCAACTCCTTAATTTCCAGATGATGAGATTAAGGTCCAGAGGAGGGAATTACTGAGGTCATAAAAACAATACTTGCCTGGGCCAGTCAGTACCAGTTTTCTGGAGAAACCAAATTAAGATAACATTGTTTAGGGAGTCAAGTCATCCAGGAGAAAATAGCTCAGCCTCCTGAGTGTTTACTACAGCTTCACTCTTTTTTTTTTTTTCTTTTTTTTTGGGTCTGGTCGTGGGGCCTGAACTCTGGGCCTGGGCGCTGTCCCTCAGCTCTTCAGCTCAAGGCTAGCGCTCTACCACTTGAGCCACAGCGCCACTTCCGGCTTTTTTCTTTTTGCTTATGGGGTGCTGAGGAATCGAACCCAGGGCCTCATGCATGCAAGGCAAGCGCTCTACCACTGAGCCACCTTCCCAGCCCAGCTTCACTCTTTTTCAAAATGATCCTCACAGTTGTTACCTTGTGTGAGACAATTGAGGAAAGCGAGGCACAGAGAATCCATTTTGCCAAGTATCACAGGCTGAGCTGGCTGTGTACGGATACGAAGGAGTGGAGAGCTGAGTGAGAAGGGCTGCCTGTAATTCTAGCTAATCAGAAGGTTGAATTCTGTGCAGTTCAAAGCCAGCCCGGGCAGCAAAATCTATCTCCAGTACACTACCAAAACAATCCAGAAGTGGAGCTGCGTGTGGCTTCAGTGGTAGAGCAGCTTAGCCTTGAGCAAAAAAAAAAGCTCAGGGACAGAGCCCAGGGCCTGAGTTCGGGCCTCAGGACCGGCACAAAAAAAGAAGGCTGAGATCCAGAGGATCATAGTTCAAAGCCACCCTGGTCAGAGATTCTATTTCCAAAGTAACTAGGGAAAAATCAGGCCGGAGGAATGGCGCAAATGGTAGAGTGCCAGTAGAGCAAGCATGAGGCCTAGAGTTCACACAGTGGAATTGGAAGAGAGAAAGAGAAAGACAGAGACAGAGAAAAGACAATTCAGAGGCACCTATGCAAACTCTCCCTTACTCTCCAATCCCCCACCCTACCCATTTGGTCAAGTGATCTGTCTGTTTATAGCTATGTCCCTGGGGAGAGCTGAAACTGGTCCCTGCCTTGTTTCACCAAGTCATCCAACAAGAAGCCCTGACGGTTTCAGGGCTTCTCCTGAGAGAATTTTCCCTGATTAAGTCCACGTTGTAGGCCTCAGAGGATTACTGCCCTGGGTTCTGGGTATTAGTTTTGCTCTTCAGTGTGCTAGGCACTCACCAAACCCTTTAGTTGGCACTGTGTGTGTGTGTGTGTGTGTGTGTGTGTGAAGGCTAGAGGGAAATGCACCTTACATGGACAGCCAGAGTAGGCTGCTCTACTATTTTTTTGAGGGATAACTTTAATCAGGTCAGAACATTGAGCTCCAGCCAGAGCCCAACAGAGTTGTTCTGAGCCCACCACATCCTCCAGAGCATTCCATCTCTGTGTCATTTCCTTGTTTAGAAAATGAGTAAGAGCTGGGCACCATATCTAAAGCCTGAAATCCCAGCTACTTGGGAGGCAGAGGTGTGTGTGTGTGTGTGTGTGTGTGTGTGTGTGTGTGTGTGTTTTGTTATTTGAGGCCAGTTCAGGCAAAAGAGAAGTTTATGAGACTCTTATCACAACCAGCCAAGGGTTTGGCATGCTGGTGGGACCAGTTATTCCAGATACGGTAGAAACACAATGGCTGGGCACAGTAGTACATGCCCTTTATTCCAGTGATTTTAGGGTTGGGGTGGGGTGGGGTGGGGAAGGACAATCACAGCTCAGCTTGGCTCAAGTATAAAACAAGAGTCTACCTTAAAAATAACCAAAACAGTCAGATCTGGTGGCTCATGCCTCGAATCCTAGCTAGTCAGGAGGCTGAGATATGGAAGTTTGTGATTCAAACAAAGCCAGCATACGCAGGGAAGTCCACTAGACTACATTTTCAAATAACCTGCAAAAAGCCAAGTTGGCAGCAGGCTCAAGTTGAGCCACAACTCTCCTTCTGGCTTTTTGGGTGGTTAATTGGAGATAAGAGGCTCATAGCCGGGCACTGGTGGCTCACGCCTATAATCCTAGCTACTCAGGAGACTGAGATCTGAGGATTACAGTTCAAAGCCAGCCTGAGCAGGAAAGTCCATGAGACTCTTAGCTCCAATAAACCACTAGGAAAAAAAAATAGAAGTGGTGCTGTGGCTTAAGTGGTAGAGTGCTAGCCTTGAGCTGAAGAGCTGAGGGACAGTGCCCAGGCCCAGAGTTCAGGCCCCATGACTGACAAAAAAAAAAAAGAAGGGATATTTTGTATATAAAGTTAAACAGTAGCACCATGGTCGGATTGGGTAACAGAATATCATGAGCATTCAAAGGCAAGTAACAACTCAGAGAGGCCCAGAAAGTCCTGTTTCCCTTGACCTGAGTAGCCCTGATTTTCCCTATATGATTTGCATATGGTGTGTTTCTAGTCTAGCTCACACCTAGGACTTGGGGATAAGAAAGTCAGTTTTCTCATTCATCTTAGAGGTTGGGGCTGGAGCTGAGATAGTTCTCTGTGTTGGAGCCCAGTTTAATCTTGCTCGATTAAGTCTGTTTCTTTTACATTCCCTCCACTGCTGTTATGAGACTCAGACTAGCATCATCCTTAATTTGTACATGGGAAAGCAGAGACCAGACGTGCAGGAGGAGCTCCTTATTGAGTTTAAAAGCAATCTGACTGAGGTCCTGAGTTAGTCAGTTCTGCTTAGGCCAATGTTTGGTTGATTGTAACCAGACAGACCTGTTCCTGTCTGGGCCTCAGGGAGTAGGCCCAGCCTGAATACCTGACCTTTTTAAAATTCTTTTTAAAATTATATATTTATTATCTTTAAGTTGTTGTACAAAGCAGTTGCCATTCAACAACCTAATATGTCACCCTTTCAACATTTTCACCTATTCATCCCAAACCACCCTTTCCCTCACTTTTCTTCATTTTGTAGACTATACATTGAATTTATTTATTATTTACTTGCCCATCCTGGAACTTGAACTCTGGGCTTGGGCATTGTCCCTGAGCTTTTTTGCCTCACGGCTAGCACTCTACTACTTGAGCCATAGCTCCACTTCCAGCTATTTGGTGGTTAATTAGAAATAGTCACACAGACTTTTCTCCCCAGATCTCAGCTTCCTAAGTAGCTAGAATTACAGAGATGAGCCACTCACTGGTGCTGGGCTTCATTGAATTTTTTTTTTTTTTTTTTTGTTATGGTGCTTGAACTCAGGGCCGAGGCACTGTCCCTGAGCTTTTTCACTCAAGGCTAGCACTCTACCACTTGGAGGTTAGTTGGAAATGAGTCTTATGGACTTTCCTGCCTGGGCTGTCTTGGAATGATCCTCAGATCTCTGCCTCCTAAGTAGCTAGAATTATAGGCGTGAGCCACTGGTGATGGTTTATATGGAATTCTTTTTTTTTTTTTTTGGTGGTTGTAGGGCTTGAACTCTGGGCCTGGGCACTGTCCCTCAGCTCTTCAGCTCAAGGCAAGCGCTCTACCACTTGAGCCACAGCGCCACTTCCGGTTTTCTGGTGGTTAATTGGAGATGAGTCTCGTGGACTTTCCTGCCCAGGCTGGATTTGAACAATGATCCTCAGATCTCAGCCTGCTGAGTAGCTAGGATTACAGGTGTGAGCCACTGGTATCCAGTCTACATGGAATTCTTGGCTGTATTCTGCCCCCTTTTCATTTATCTACTTACCTCCTCCCTTCCCCCCCACTACTCCCCCCCCCCCCCCGCCCCCGCCCCCTCTTCTTGACCCTACTCTACCCTTTTCAAGTACTCAACTTGTCCTTTTTTTCTTCTGCAGGGGGAAGGACTTGAAAGAGCAGCATGAGCAGAAAGTGTGTGAGAGGGAGCTGCAGCGCATCACCCTGCCCTTGTCTGCCTTTACCAACCCCACCTGTGAGATCGTGGATGAGAAGACCATCGTGGTGCACACCAACCAGACTCCTGTGGACCTGCAAGAGGGAAGCACCCCCCTCATGGGCCAGGCTGGCACCCCTGGGGCCTGAGCCTCTCCAGTGGGCAGAAGCCCATGCAGATACTTGTGCAGAACAGCCCAACTTCCTACAGCTAGGAGGATCTACATCTTGTGTTGTGGTTACAGACTCTACCCCCACTGGTTTTTGTTTTATTTTTTATGTTTTGGGAATCCTCGTGACAGAAGCAGGTAGCACTGTGGGCTGAGGGTGAGGCTGGGAAGAGTGCAGTGTTTCTCCTCCATTCTTTGGAGCAGAGGACTTTTCCTGCCGGTGGAGATAGCAGCGTAGCTCCCACAGCAGTGCTGCTGACAAGGGCTTCCAAACATTGTCTGTGCCCCGCCCCCCCCTCCAGATTTGAACCAGGGACAGACAAGGGGGGAGCTCTCCCAGACTCCTCTGTGCTTTACCATCTAAGATGGCCTACTCCACCTTTCCCGTTTGTTCTTCATGAGCTTGAATGGCGCACACTGTTATTCATAGTTAAGGTTAAGCAGGTCAGGAGGCAGCATTGAAAAAAAAAAATATATATATATATAGTTTTTTAAATATTTGAAAGGGAACTCCCTATTCTGAGAACCGGAAATGAGTTTGGATGAAAGCCAGAACTTTGGACTGAATGAAATCTAGGCTGGGGCTAGCGGGTGTGATCCAGCTCGAGGGCAGGATGTGCCTTGACAACCATGGGCCAGGCCTGGGCCCAAGGACTCTTCCTGTCTCATTAAGGAAAGGAAGGGAAGAATTGCACTAAACATTCCACTTAGGAAGAGGATAGAGAAGGATCTGCTCCTGCCTTAGGCCTCAGGACAGAAAATGGGGCTGGGGATGCCCTAAATCTTCTGGGGTGGACAGTGACCTCCCCTTTCATTTTGCACTGATAAGAGAGTAGCCAGCTGGGCACCCATGGCAATGACATAACTTGGATGTTTGTTGAGCAGCTGCTTAGAGGGGAACCTGGGAAATAAGCTCAGAGACAAGGAAAATAAAGCACTTCAGGGCTTGCCTTCCTTCAGTTGGGCCCTAGTTTGCAGGTAGCCCTGTGGCCCTACTACCACCACCAGGCCAGCACTTCCTACCATCTGTAAAATGGTCACAGAACCATTGGAAAGGATCTCGTTCTTCAAGCCTTTTGGATGTAGGGCCCTGGTAGGGCTCACAGGTAGAGAGCAAGCTACCGACATGGCCAAGAGAGCCCAGTTTCTGGAATTGCGTGTGGTTGTACGTACACAGCACTGTGCTCGAAGCTGAGGCTTCCAAGTTCTGATGTCACACTCGGAGGCCTTGGCAATGTTCCCCAGCCATAGGCCTTCCTGCCCAGAGCCCTGCCACTGCCTGATGTGGAGGAGGTGGGTGAATGGGGGGTGTCCATTCCTATCAGCAGGTTACTCCCAAGAGCCATTGCGGAGGGAACCTAGACCTCAGGTCTAGAGTCCCTTGGTGTTAGCGATGATGGAGATGAGAACATTACTGGTTTCTACTTTTCTATAAAAGCATTTCTCTGTATACATGTTTGATATACCTCATTCTGACACCTGTGTATAAAGTACAGGAAATTGCTCTGCATTTGACTTCTATAAAAAACAAGAAAAAAACAAGCCTCCTATGTTGCCTACTTCTTGTGAGTTATGGAAACTTCCCCTCACCCAACACACCTGTGCAGTGAGGTCCAACTTCTCTTCACCCACTCTGACCCTGGAACCAGTTGAAGAGTTGAACACTGCAGCGTCTGCATCCTGATTGTCACCACCAGGAATCCTGCAGAGACTGAAGTTACAGGAAGGACCAGTGCGTGTGGACTTCCCAAGGAGGGAGCTGGTCACTGCAAATATTCTCCCCTCCAGCAGTCTTTCCAAGGTAGAGGGAGTTGAACACCCAAATAGGTTGTGAAGCCATAGGCAAAGAAGAGTTGTGTGTGTGTTTGGGGGGGGGGGGGGGAGTGAGGGGAGGGGCTGAGGGGGTCAAGGGACTGCTCAGAGCAGGGCTAGGGCTGTAGCAGTAAAGCTGTCAACTATCAGCTAGCTTGGATTTTAGCAGGGAACTTCAATTGTAGATTCAAAGGCTCTTAGATATATACCCAGGGTGACCTCAGCTTGTGCTCAGACAGTGCTGTTTAATTTTGTTAGCAATGGGGACCTCAGATCATCAGTTTGGTTTTTTATTTACTTAGTTGGTCATAGGGCTTGAACTTGGGGCCTAGGCACTGTCCCTGAGCAATTTTTGCTCAAGGCTAGCACTCTACCTCTTTGAGCCATGGACACCAGAAATGGTAGTTAATTGGAGATAGAGTCTCATGGCCTTTCCTGCCCAGGCTGGCTTTGAATCATGATCTTTAGATCTCAGCCTCTTGAGTAGCTAGGATTACAGGCATGAACTACCAGTGCCAGCTCAAGGGTCCCCCCCCCCCCACCACCACCAGGAATCAGATTCTATCCTTCGTTTCTCTCAAGCTCTGGGATTGCATGGGAGAAATGACCTTTGGGATTGTGTCCTAGGGCCCCACTAACCAGATAACATCCTCTGCTAGTGGTCAGTTCTCTGTCTCCCCATATACAGAAGCAACAGATGTTCTTGAGCATTTCTTATACATGGGCTGAGGTGGCTTGTGCATCCCCACTCAAGGAGCCCAAGGAGCCACAAGGAGCAAAAACTAGGATACAGCAGCCACACACAGCAGCTTTGTAGGGATGGAGATCAGAGACCTGACCCAGGGAAAGGGCTGCCTCAGTGGACTTGTATGAACAAACTGGGGGTCTGAGAGGGGGATTACACCTGGGAGACTCCCTACTGTGGGAAGTCTTGTAGGTCCTGAAGGTGGGCAGCAGATGCTCCCCCCCATATTTATTCCCTTGAGTCAGGCGCCGAGTCGCTTTTCCTTCTCAGTATGATCACTTTTGTTAACTGCTTAATTTATTTAGTCTAATCAATAGCCGGGCTCGGGCCTGCCACTCCCACGCTTGCTGGGGACAGCTGAAACACAAGCAGCCACAGGATGCTGAACCATGCTGTTGCCAGGAGCCTAGGATTCAACCCTACAGCAAGCGTGCAAAGTCCACATGTAAGTACAGGCTACACAGCAAGTAAACTCTGGCCAGAGATAACCACCCACTTCATAACTCATCCAGTCTATGTACAATATTTCACATACCACCCAATAGATATAAGAAGGTAATATTAACAGCAACCATTCTCCCGGATCACTCCCCCACCTCCCCCCAATACAACCACCACACATTGCATTTATAACCCGAACCCATTCCCAATTTGTTAAATAGGGTGTAATCCCAGAGACATTTAGGCAAATTGAGGTGTCCTATGGAGTCTCTGGAGGTCTGGGGATCAAGGTGGGAAGCGTCCCCAGGTTTTCCAATGCCCGTGGCCCCGAGGTGTGGCTCAGAAGTCTGTAAGCCAGGAGCTATGAGCTGGGCCAGCTAACAAGGGAGGTAGAAGCCAGTGGTCCAGCTCAGGGAGCTGTTCCCTTTCAGCCCCTCGGCTCTGGGACTCTGTCTCACCACGTTTTCTCAATCCATGTTGCTGTCTAGAGCAGGTGTGTTGGAGGATGAGCAGTGGCTGCTACAGGGAGGTGGGCAAGAGATTTCTGAGCCTCCTTTCCCTTAGAACCTAGGCCTGCAACAGGCCACAGTCCGCAGATTCCATCTAGCTCTAGGCAGTATTTCGGCCTTTTGGCTAAGCCCATCAGAGTATGAGTGGCAGCAGCTAGAAGATGCTATTTTTAGAAGGCAGAGCCTCTTTCTTCCCATCTTCTTGTTGAGACAAAAGAAGATGTCGCCTAGTTCTGGCTGATCTCCAGTAGAGGCTGAGAAGGCGAAGTGCAAACTTCCTGCTCACATTGGTGTGGTCCCTGGGCTGGCTGGAGCCACCCCCAGGCAAGTGGATAAACAGCCTCGATTGCTGGTGGGTCCCACTATACACTAAGAGGCTTCAAAACCTATTCCCTCCACCTCTGCTCCGGGAAGTGGGATCGACTGTCATTGAAACTTCTTGAGTGCAAGTGGGTCACCAGTCTTTCTCTTGGCCACAATCCCAACTGAAGTCCCGCTAAACCAGTCATTAGAGGCTACAGGCAGGCTCCCCCGGGGTCCTGCCCAGCAGGCCCAGGTCACGTTGATTAGTGTAAGCCAGGGGTCCCAGGTAGGGCCAAGTAACAGATTCCTCCTGGCCCCCGAGTTCAGGTTCGTAGTTTATATCTTCACAGCTTTCAGGTGAGTGTTGGATTTATCAACAGTAACCAGGCCACCCAAATGTCGGGGGGAGATACATTTTGCTGGCGCTGCGCCCGCTCGCCTCCTGGGGAGGTAGTAGGGATGGCTCATTGTGCCTTGGAATGTGCCACCAATCCACAGGAACACAGGAAGCCCGGGAAAGCCCTGTTCACAAGCAGGGCCAGGGCGCAGAGGGGGCAATGCTGGCTGTGGAAGGCCCCCCTGCAGGGGGCTGGGCCAGGGTTAGGGGGGTGAGTCCCGGGTCAGGCCGTATTGCAGGCTCACAGTGTGGTCCAGCTCTTCCAGCTCTGCGGGCAGTGGGATGCCCAGCTCTCCTAGGTACAGGGAGAGGGCCTCAAAGGAGTCCTCCAGTTTGGAAAATGCTGGTCTGGAAAGAAAAGAAAAGAGGTGAATCAGGCAGGTGAACTATGAGGTGGTAAGGGAGGACCCGGGCCTGGTGCTCAGTTACCTCTTCAGGCAAACTCCTTAGCCTATATTTGCCTCTCCAAGAAATGATATTAGCATAACTTCACAGGGTTGGTACAAAGATGAAAGATAACTAGGTAAAGGCTGGCTCCCAGTGGCTCATGCCTGTAGTCCTAGCTACTCAGGAGGCTGAGATATGAGGATTGTAGTTCAAAGCCAGCCCGGGCAGAAAAGGCCATGAGACTTATCTCTAATTAATCACCAGAAAACTGGAAGTGGTGCTGTGGTTCAAGTGGTAGAGCTCGCCTTGCACAAAAAAGCTCAGGAACAGTGCCTAGGCCCTGACTTCAAGCCCCAGGGCTGACCAAAAAAAAGGTAACTGGCTAAGGAGTCTGGCCTGGCTAGTGGTGGTAGCTCGTAGTAACAGTAATCCTGAGCAAAAAAGAGAAATGCAAGACCTATCATAATACTGGACTTCAAATTATATTATAGAGCCATAGTAGCAAAAAAAAAAAAAATAGCTTGGTGATAGCACAAAAAACAGACACAAAAGAACAGCAGAACAGAAGACCCAGGAATAAAACCACATAGTTACAGCCATCTAATTTTTGACAAAGGAGTCAAAAGGCTGTGGAAGACAGCCTATTCAACAAAAAGGTGCTAGGAAAACTGATCATTTATTTGCCAGAGACTGAAACTTGACCCTTGCCTTTCATCTTGTACCAAAACCAACTCTAAACAGATCAAAGATTGAAATGTAACACCTGAAACTACCATAGGAAAAATCTGGAAGAAAAAAGGCACAGGTCATTATTTTCTGAATAAGACTCCAAGAAAATAATAGCAAGAATGGACCAGAAGTTTCTACACCGCTAAAGAAAACCACCAGAACCAAGAGGCAACCCATGGAATAGGAGCTATGCAATGTCAGCTATTCAATGGATTAAGGATTATTATCTAGACTAAACAAAGCTCTGAAACAATAGAACAAATAGCCCAGTTAATATGTGGACAAATGAACAAATAACCCAGTTAATAAATGGACAAATAGACAATTCTCAGAAGAAATACAAATGGCTAGGAGAGAAACATCAGATTCATCTCAGCTCAGTCAGAATGCCATCTAACAAGAAAACAAATCCTGGCGAGGATGAAGGGAAGAACCCTCATACATGGCTGGTGAGAATGTAAATTAGTGCAACCACTATGGAATCAGTATAGAAGCTCCTTAAAAAACTAAAATGGATCTACCTAATGATCACACCACATTTCCTCTGGGGGCATATATCTGAAGGAAGAGTTAATTAATACGCCAGAAAGACACCTGCATCCCTATGTTTATTGCATCTTTGTTTACAATAGTCAAACTGTGGAATTGGCCAATGTGTCCAACAACCAATGAGTGGATAAAGAATACATGGTAGCTGGGTACTGATGGCTCACGCCTGTAATCTTAGCTACTCAGGGGGCTGAGATCTGAGGATTGTGGTTCAAAGCCAGCCGAGGCAGGAAAGTCCATGAGACTCTTTTTTTTTTTTTGGGTCCGGTTGTGGGGCCTGAACTCTGGGCCTAGGCGCTGTCCCTCAGCTTTTTAGCTCAAGGCTAGAGCTCTACCACTTGAGCCACAGTGCCACTTTCAGCTTTTTTCTTTTTGCTTATGTGGTGCTGAGGAATTGAACCCAGGGCCTCAGGCATTCAAGGCAAGCGCTCTACCACTGAGCCATCTTCCCAGCCCCCTCCATGAGACATTTATCTCCAATAAACCACCAGAAAACTGGAAGTGGTGCTGTGGCTCAGGTGATACAGCACTAGCCTTGAGCTGAAGAGCTGAGGGACAGCATCCAGGCCCAGAGTTCAAGCCCCATGACCAACCCCCCCCTCCCCCCCAAAAAAAGTATGTATACACACACACACACACACACACACACACACACACACACACACACACACACACACACACACACACACACACACGTTACATATGTACTTGGAGTATTACTCATCTATAAAGAAAATTGAAATTATATCATTTGCAGGACAGTGGATGGAGCTGGAGAGTATCCCCTTAAGCCAATCTCAAAATGCTGTATTGTTTACTTACTTGTGGAATCGAGATTTTAAAGACACATATACATATAGATGTATATCCCCCCTCCACACTAGGCTGTAAATGTGGGATTGTGCTCTGGGCTAGTGCTCTATCAAGTGAGTCATTACCAGCTCCACTTTCAGCTTTTTGGCAGTGAATTGGAGGTCACAGTCTCATGGACTTTTCTGCCAGGGCTGGCTTTGAACTGTGATCCTCAGATCTCAGCTTTCTGAGTGGCTAGGATTATAGGTATAAGCCACTAGTGTCTGATAATAAACCTCTTTATTAGACTTTTCCCATAGCATTTGTCCTATTTGAATATTCAGCATAGTTTATTTATGCTGTTTTTGTTGGTCATGGGGTCTGAACTCTGGGACTGGGAGCTGTCCCTCAGCTCTTCAGCTCTTCAAGCGCTCTACCACTTGAGCCACAGTGCCACTTCTGGCTTTTTCTGCTTATGTGGTGCTGAGGAATCGAACTCAGGGCCTCATGCATGCAAGATAAGCACTCTACCACTGAGCCACCTTCCCAGCCCCACTATGTTGTATTTTTTTATTCTACTTGCTAGTCTGCTCCTCCAGAATTGGAGCTCTGGGCCTTGGAAAAAATGCAAGTTTCCTGAGATCTGACACCTCAGAACAACACCTAAAGCATAGTCTACACTACACACACACACACACTCACACACACACTATTTTCGGTGCTTGTTCTGGGGCTTGAACTCAGTGCCTTGCACAAGCACTTGTTTTTTTCACCCAATGCTGGTGCTCTACCACTTGAGTCACACTTCTACTTTTGGCTTTTTGCTGGTTAACTGAAGGTAAGAGTCTCATGGACTTTTTTGTCTGGGCTAGCTCTGAACTGTGATCCTCAGAGCTCAGCTTCCTGAGTAGCTAGGAGTAAGTGTGTACAACTGGCACCCAGTTTGAACTTTCTTTTAGGAACTGTGTCTCTGTACCTTATCCAGTTACTACACCTTTATCAAACTTGGCATGTTAAAGAGTGACAGTTACATGCTTGAGTTCAAACCTCTGCCATCCCTTGTGCCTGGAGCTTGGAGACAGGGGTGAAATACTTACCGGCTCTCAGGCTCCAGTTTGCAGCAGATAGCGGCCAAGGGGAAGAAGGCAGGAGGACAGTCTGTTGGGACAAACTTCTCCCAGAAAAGCTTCACGTTGAGGCCAAAGTCCAGTGTGCGGGGTAAGCAATCAGGATCTGCATATACCTGCCCAATGATCTGCAGGTGAGAAGACAGCTGGTCAGGAAGTGCTCTGATGCTACAGAGAGATGGCAGGGAAAAGGAATGCTGATGTGTGAACAGAAGGAGACACAGGAGAGTGGTAAAAATCTAGTCTTCTCTCTCCTGGCTTTTGAGGGTGGGTTAGGACTGACTGGCTTCACAGTAGCAAAAGTAATGTTCCAAGTTGGCATGCAGGCTGTTATCTGCCTATGTCCATCTTCTGCTAGAGTCAAGTCTCTGTGAAGCAGGGAGCTAGGTCTGATTCATGTTTGAGATCTTGGCACCAGCTTAATACTTTGTATATAGCTTAATACTTAGTACAACAATTGTTATCTATGAAAAGGAAACAACTTTCATAAAAATTGTCCTTCATTATTCTAACCACCTTTTGTTTCTCTTGCCTATCCCATTCATAGATTTACGGGAATCACAGAAGCCTTTGAATGTGTGTATGATGGAGTGCTTTGAGATATACTGAGCTATTTTGCCACCTGAATGCTAAGCTACTAATGGCTGGAATCTTGCCAGGACTTACTGTATCCTCTATGGTGCCTATCATGGAGCTGGTATTTCCTGGAGTGGCAACTTCTATTTGCTGGGTTTAGAAACGGGGAACAGAAAGGAACTGCAACTAGGCTTAAGAGCTAGATGGACGTCATACCTTTCTTACTGGAATTCTGAGTTTGACTTGTCCCTTACTGGCCATGCAACTTTGTGACTTACAAACTATTTGAGCCTTTCTAGGCCTCCATTTCACGGGACCTTAAGATTCAAATGAGGCATCCATCATATCCAGTCAGAGACTAGGTGCCATTCCTGAGCTTCTTTGCTCAAGGCTACCTACCACTTGAGCCACTGCTCTATCTCTGGCTTTTTTTTTTTGGTAGTTAACTGGAGATAAGAGTCTCATGGACTTTCCTGCCCTGGTCAGACTCAAACTGTGAGCCTCAAATCTCAGCTTCCTGACCATCTAGGATTACAGGCATTACCCACTAGTGCCTGGCTACCTATGTCAAATTTATAATAACCTTTTTACCCCTAGGAGAAGCCCAGATGTGAAGCAGGGCAAAGCTTCTAGGCCTGAATGGCCTCTGTGTGGGAGCTCACCTCACAGAGTACAATCCCGAAAGAGAAGACATCCACGGTTTCATCGTAGCTCTTTCCTTGGGAAACAGAGGCAAGCAACTGTTAACTTGGCATCCTTTACCTGCTCTGCAAGAGTATAGGGTGAAGCCAAGTCACAGACAAGAACCAAGGCTAGAACAGGTTCTGAGGGGATGTCTCAAAGTGGTCCAGGAGAGGCACCACTTTGGTATCATCCTTCTCCAGCCCTAGAAGGCCTGTATTGAAGGGACCTTATAAATGCATTGCTCAGGATGTAACTGTATGGCACAGTGGAAAAGAACTGCACCCCAGTTCTAGGCTCTGCCATTGGCAGCTGTGTGATCTCGGGGAGCCACTGAACTGAAAAGTGCTGTTCCTAGGTCTTTTTTTTTTACTCTGGGCCTGGGCGCTGTCCCTGAGCTTCTTCTGCTCAAGGCTAGCACTCCACCACTTGAGCCACAGCACCACTTCTGGCTTTTCTGTTTATGTGGTACTGAGGAATCGAACCAGGGTTTCATGCATGCTAGGCAAACACTCTACCACTCAGCCACCTTCCCAGCTCCCTAGACCATTTTTTTTTTTTTTTGGTTGGTTGTGGGGCTTGAACTCTGGGCCTGGGCGTTGTCCCTGTGCTTTTGTGCTTAAGGCTAGCATTCTACCACTTGAGCCACAGCGCCACTTCCAGTTTTCTGGTGGTTTACTGGAGATAAGAGTCTCACGAACTTTCCTGCCTAGGCTGGCTTTGAACTGTGATCCTCAGATCTCAGCCTCCTGAATAGCTAGGATTACAGGCAAGACCCATCAGTGCCTAGTGCTTAGACCATTTTTGACATCTATCTTCTGCCTTTCAAGAATGTCAAAGTGTCTCTGATAGTTTGAGCAGTGTCCACCAGGGGGCACCATAATTCAGTTCCTAGTTAGGAGAAAGCAAAAGCTAAAGCTAGAGCAATGCATAATCTGACCTCTTAGCTACCCTTAGGACACAAAATCCATTATGCTATGACCAGCCTGATACTCTGACCAGTTCCTATTCTTGAGCTCAGGGAACAAGTAGTTTCTCAGGCCTACGCTGGCAAGGATTAAAAACCATCATTAACTAGTCTCCCAGGGCTCCCTTGTCAGAAGTGGCTTCTGTTCCCCCTCGGAGTGTCTCCTCCAGGCTTAGGACTCACCATTCAGCATCTCAGGAGCCATCCAGTAGGGGTTTCCCACCACCGTGTAACGCTTCTTGCGGTCATTCTTGCGTAAGGTGCGCTTCTTCGTGGTGGCCTTCTCCACTGGGGGCCTTTTCCTCTCTTCCACTATGAGCCGTGACAACCCAAAATCTGCCACCACTACAGTCTTGTCCTGGCAGGACAAGGTCTAGTTCAGGACCTGGTGGGGAAGTCCTTGAACCTGGCCTTAGGGTGTGGGCATAGGCAAGAAAAGTCGTGGACTACTGGGGTGTTGATGGCTCACACCTGTAATCCTAGCTACTGAGAAGGCTGAGATATGAGGATCACAGTTTAAAGCTAGCCTGGGCAGGAAAGTTTGTGAGACTCTTTTTAATTTTATTTTTGCTGATCCTGGGGCTTGAACTCAGGGCCTGGGTGCTGACCCTGAGTCTCTGTGCTCAAGGCTAATGCTCTACCATTTGAGCTACAGTGCCACTTCTGGCTTTTTCTGGGTAGATTACTGGAGATAAGAGTCTCACAGACTTTCCTGCCTGGGCTTCCCAGAATAGCTAATCCTCAGATCTCAGCCTCTTGAGTAGCTAGAATTACAGGCATGTGCCACCAGTGCCCAGCTTGAGAGACTCTTATCTCCAATCAACTACCAAAAGAGCCAGAAGTGGTGCTGTGGTTCAAAGTAGCCTTGAGCACAAAAGCTAAGGGACAGTGCCCAGGACCTGAGGTCAAGGCCTTAGGATAAACCCCCCCCCCCAAAAAAAAAAGTCATGGACAAGGGGAATACATAGTAAATACATAGTGAAAGAGAGTCATAGCAGAAAGTGCCAGTAGATTTGTTCAAGTAGTTGGGTTTCTGTCAGTCTGCTATCTGCCCACAAGCTGAAGTGTAGTTTGCACTACAGAACTCTAGCTGGGGTAGGGCTCTGCAATATGGAGGGTAAAACTCGGAGGTGGGGTCTGGAGTGTGTGTGTGTGTGTGTGTGTGTATGTGTGTGTACGTACACACACACACACACACACACACACACACACACACGAACTCTGGGCCTGGGTGCTATCCTTGAGCTTTTTCTGCTCAAGGCTAGCGCTCTACCACTTTGAGCCACAGCACTACTTCTGGTTTTCTGGGGGCTAATTAGAGGTAAGAGTCTCATAGACTTTCTTGCCCTGGATGGCTCTGAACTGAGATTCTCAGCTCTCAGCCTCCTGAGTAGCTAGGATTGTGTTTTGTTTTTATCCTGTGGTGCCTTACCTTACTCCTCAAAAAGACTTAGGGTAACTGTTCTGAACTAGGGTTAAGAGAAAAAGACAAGGCAGAGGCAGTCAGTCTGGGGAATCTGGGGAGATAAGCTCCTTGGATAACTATAGGGCAGTCATGTGAAAGGGATTAAGATTGTTTGATGTGAGTCCAGAGGGTAGAGCCAGGGCTGAGTAGTGGATACCCAGGAAGCAAGATTACAAATCAACAGGAGAAACAACACTGTAGCAATCAGAGCTGAGGGGGGTGGGGTAGGAGTGGGAGGAATAATGGCTTCCAACTGGTCACAGTGAATTCACTATGTCTGTGGCCTTAGGCTGAGATTTCATGTGCCAGAAAAATGGGTCAGCAGAACGACAGGACTCTCTATATATAACTAAGGAATTTCTGGTCAACTCTCTCTTTTTGCATAGATTAAGTATTCTATCACGGAGCATCTGAGCATCTGTAGCCCCGAGGTCACTTCTAATCAAATGATTGCTAGGGCTGCTACTGAGAGGTGAGACAGGTATGTGTGTGCTGCAGTCTGGGAGTGTTCGGAAGACACATAGCTTTGGAAGCCACAGGAAGGACAAGAGAAGCCCCTAGGCAATACCTTTGGCCTAAAGCCAAGGGGACAGCCAGCTTCCTTTGTGACAAAGAAGCCAGGACAGCTGACCTCAAAGAGGCTCAGGCCAGGCTGCAGGGTGAGACATACCAACTTGATGAGGCAGTTGTGTGAGTTCAGATCCCGGTGGATGATGCACATGGAGTGCAAATAGGCCTGGAACACAAATACAAGCCAAAGGGCCAGTAAATCAACCAGATCCTGACTCTGGAATTAGGGGCCATAAAACCTATTCTTCCTTTATGCAGGCTGTGCCCGCCCACCTCAGAACCCAGCCTGGACAAAATGGGGCCAGGCTCCCTGTAGGGACAACAAAAGAAAGCTGCTGACTCCAGCCCATCCTTCAGTTCAACAGTCACCAGCTCAGGGCTGACCTCAGTCCTCACAGCTCCTCCTTCCAGTCTCCAAGTCCATTACTGGGCTCTGGTCCCTGCAGCCTCCCTTACGCCTTTGCCCAGGCCTTCTGAAGTGAGTACCCCGAGGTACTGACAGCTCCATCTCTCATGCCCCACACCATTTCGGGGTTCAGGAACTTTGAGTCCTTCCTGGTTGAATTAGCTCCATGTTCCTGCTGTTCACATCACTCTCCTCCAGGTCTATACTTGAACTAGTCCCTCTCTGTATCTAAATGTTTCTAAACAAATTTCTATTTAGAAACTTGTTTCTAAACAAGCTATTGTTGGTGTCAAAGGCCACTGCTTTTTCCTGTCCTTCCCCTGCCAATATGGGAGACACTGCTCACACGCTCAGGTCAACACAGCCCTGGAGCTCTTCCTGTGTGCCATGACTCATAATCTGGTGGTCTGCAGATCCCTTCCTCAAAGCTGTCGGCATCTCTCCTGCTCCTGAGACCCCGTGGGTCTTTTTCCCACCCAGCAGCTTCCTCAGCACCAGCCACGCTCCAAGCCATCTTTCCACATGGATGTGTTTCTGTCTCACAGCTCTAGTGGCCCCTTCTCTGGGGACCAGCAGTCTCTCTCCAAGCTCCAGCCAGTTTCCTGCTCAGAGAGCTGGAGGTTCAGCTAGTAGATCATTCTCAGCATGCACCAATCCTGACTTTCCCAAGCCTCTTCCTGACCATCAGTATCTGGTAAATGGTGGCACAAGGTGCCACTGTGACTCCTCTTCCCATTTGTGTGCCTTCACTGCCATCCAGTTGCTCCATTCTGAGGCCACCCTGTCTCCCAGTCTTCTGTCACCATTGCTACTACCTTAATTTAGAAACTCAAAGTATTTCATTGGCTCTCTATCCAGTTGTCCCTGCCTGAGGATCTCTCAACTCTATTCCAACCTATAGATCACCTCTGATCACAAAACTTTCTTGCTTAAAAATCTTTTCTAGGCTGGGCACAAGTGGCTCATGCCTGTAATCCTAGCTACTCAGAAGTCTAGAGATTTGAGGATTGAAGCTCAAAGTGAGTTTGGGCAGGAAAGTCTGGGAGATTCTTTTTTTTTCTTGTTGTTGATTGTAGGGCTTGAACTCATGAGCCTGGGCGTTATCTCTCAGTCTTCAGCTTAAGGCGAGCACTCTACCATTAGAGCCACAGTGCTACTTCTGGTTTTCTGAGTGGTTTATTGGAGATAAGAGTCTCTCAGACTTTCCTGCTTCGTCAGGCTTTGTTTTTGTTTGTTTGCTTTTGTCGGTAGTGGGACCTGAACTCTTGGGCACTGTCCCTCAGCATTTCAGCTCAAGGCTAGTGCTCTATCACTTGAGTCACAGCACCACTTCTGGCTTTTTCTGTTTATGTGGTGCTGAGGAATTGAACCCAGGGTGTCATGCATGCAAGGCAAGCACTCTACTACTGAGCTACCTTCCCAGCCCCACCCCGGGCTGGCTTTGAACCCTGATCCTCAGATCTCAGCCTCCTGAGTAGCTAGGATTACAGGCGTGAGCCTCTGATGCCTGGCTAAGTCTGGGAAATTCTTTTTTTTTTTTTGGTTGGTCGTGGGGCTTGGGCACTGTCCCTTAGCTCTTCAGCTCAAGGAATACTGCTTGAGCCACAGTGCCACTTCTGGTTTTCTAGTGGTTTACTGGAGATAAGAGTCTCAAGGACTTTCCAGCCTGGGCTGGATTTGAACCGTGATCCTCAGATCTCACCCTCCTGAGTAGCTAGGATTACAGGCGGGAGCCACCAGCGCCTGGCTAAGTCTGGGAAGTTCTTATCTCCAATTAGTCACAGAAAAAGCCAGAAGTGGAGCTGTGGCTTAAGTGGCAAAGTGCTAGCCTTGAGCACAAAAGCTCAGGGACAGTGCCTAGGTCCAGAGTTCAAGCCCCAGAACTGGCAAAACAAATTAATAAAAATCTTTTTTTATATGGCATTATAACCTTTTTGTACAACTGTATAACTACTTCATTCCACACACACACTCACAGACACAAACTTCCTATAAGTTCAGGCTCCTTAGCTTGAAACACAGGGATCCAATCTACTGTTCCACACACATCTTGTCTTCATGAACCCTGTGAGAGGAGGAATGGCTGAAATGGTGTAGAGGCTAGACTGACAAAGCCCAGGGTCCTAACTCTGTCCTGTTCTAGTCTCAGCTTCTTACCTAGAAACAACTGTTGTCATGTGAAGTAAATATGATCCTGCCTGTTAATCTCTGAGCTCAGTGCCTGGCATACAGAAAGCACTTAGTATTTGTTGGCTCTTACGATCAGTGCAACTGGATTTACAAGGCAGTGAGATGTTCACTTGCTTTAAAAGCTCTCAATACCCAGAAGTTTCTGTAATAGGGATGACCAGGCCCTTGTACTGTGGTTTGTCCCTTCAGTTTGCCTTGGCCATATCCAGCTTTCTCTTAGAGAACTGGAATCCTTTGAGAACAAGGCTGAGTGCTGAGGACAGTTGGCCAGGGTAATTTCATTGGCCCAGATGAAACTCAGTAAATAACTGCTGAATGATCCAACCCATACAAGTCACCCAGGATGGATGTCTGTCTTCAAATACACCTCTCTCTATTCTCCCATTGTACTTACCATTCCTGAAGCGATGCCTTTGGCGAACCTGACCTTCTGTTGCCAGGGGAACGGGTCCTGCAGGGTGAGAGAATGCCTATCAGAGGCTGTTGATTTCCTGTGCCACTCATAGTCCAGGCCCTGTGGGTCAGTACAGTGTGCCAGTGAAGAGACCCCCCCCCCCCGTTTGTACCTGGTCCTGCCTAGCATGGATGGTCCTTTGGGGGCAAACCTTAAAGCCTAAGGGCTTAAAGTTCCTGGTAGTGGGGGCATAGGTATACCTCTGACAACTAATCAGGACTCCAGGGGATTGTGGACCAGTATGCTCACCACACTGCGCAGGAAGTCCTTCAAGGTACCCCCCTCGATGTACTCTGTCAGCAGGTTCAGCTTCTTGTCCTTATATAGGACACCAATGAACTTGAGCACATTGGGATGGTCCAGGCTACGCATCACTTTCACCTAAGAGTGGGAGATGCCAAGTGGGGAGAGGAAGATGGTTAACTTCCCACCCAGTCTTCTCTCCCTAAAGGAGTTAGCTGCCTCTCAACCTCTATCAGTGTGATGTGTTCAAGCATTAGGATCGGGGAGAGAGAAGATCACCACTACATGGGTGGGGATGGCTTCACAGGTCTCTCCCTTGGGCCCTAGCCTTTCTAGGAAGTGCTTTGGGGAACTGGAGTGGTAAGGCCAAGAGTGAAAACAAAGGCCTGGGGATGGGGCAGGAAGGAAGAAGAGGGCATCACCTGGGTCACAGGTGACTGCAGCTTCTCCATCAGATCCAGGTGGGAGGAGTAGGACTGTATAGATGCTCAAGGAATGACAGCTCTTGAGGAGCCCCACTCCAGGCACCATTGAGGGCCTTCAGGTGACTAGAATATAGAGTTGCACTAAACTGGTCTGTTTTCATGTCCATCACGCTTGCAATCTGAGAACTCTTTGGAATAGCATCCCTTGTAATATGGCTTGTGCCGTCTTGAAGAAGTGTTTATTGATAGGCTGGGAATGTGGCTTAGTGGTAGAGTGTTTGCCTAGCATGTATGAAGCCCTGGGTTCCATTCCTCAGTATCACATAAACAGAAAAAGCCAAAAAGTGGTGCTGTGGCTCAAATGGTAAAGTACCATCCTTGAGCAAAAGCAGCTCAGGGTCAGTGCCCAGGCCCTGATTTAGAGGGAGTGGGGATGTTCTATCACTCAATTTTTAAAATTATATATGTTTTTAATCTTTAAGTAGTTACACAAAGGTGTTACCATTCAACAAATCAGTTTGCAAGTATAATGCATCTTGATTGATGTCACTTTTCCTCTCTCACTTGTTTCCCTCAGTCTTTAAGACAGTGATTCCAAGCCAACTGCCCTCCTCCCTCTCACTGCAGTATGGGGATGAACTCAGAGCCCACTGAAGCTATGCCCCAAGTCCTTAAGTTTTTTTTTTTTGGTCAGCCGTGGGGCTTGAACTCTGGGCCTGGGCGCTGTCCTTCAGCTCTTCAGCTCAAGGCGAGTGCTCTACCACTTGAGCTACAGCGCCACTTCCGGTTTTCTGGTGGTTTATTGGAGATGGGAGTCTCACGGTCTCTCCTGCCTGGGCTGGCTTTGAACCACGATCCTCAGATCTCAGCCTCCTGAGTAGCTAGGATTACAGGCATGAGCCACCAGCGCCCGGCAGTCCTTAAGTTTTTTATTGAAGCCATTCATTTGTAACATTTTCTCTATTCTAAAGGTGAGTTTCTTTCTTTTTTTCTTCTCTCTCTCTCTCTCTCTTCCCCCCCATCCCTCCCTCCCCTTTTTGGACAGGGTTTTATTGTGTTCCCACACTGACCCAGAACTCCTGGGCTCATACAATCTGTCTGCTTCAGCCTCCCCAAGTAGCTGGGATTATAGGAGGCATGGTGGCAACTCCCACTTTGTTACCTCAGTCAGGAAAGTCTTCTGTGTCTCTTCATCACATCGAATTAACTCCTTCATGACCATCACTTTGCCCGTGGCCTTGTGTGTCACCTACAGGGAGGGTGATTATTAATGATGTAAAGATAAGAAGTAGTAGTACTGGAGAACTTCTTGTGAAAAATCTATGAGCTGGGGATGAAGCTCAGTGGCAAAGCGCTTGTCTGGCATGCGCAAGAACCTGAGTTCAAACCCCGAGTTCAAACCCCAGCACCACAAAATCATTGAATCATTCATTCAATTATTAATTCATTCATCCACTCAATCAATCAGTCAATCAATGCAACTGGCCATCTCATTCCTTGTTAAGACATACTGGGCCAGAGGAGATGAGATCAGATCAAATGGAAAATTTTTGTGTAGAAGACACAGCATAGGAGAACAGGGGACTCAGAGGAAAGCACACTCTCTTCTCTGGAGAGCTGAGCATGCACAGAGAGGTGAGAATCAGACAAATGGGGAAGGAGGCAGGAGGGGACACTGCCAAGCCAAGCAGGGGCTCTGGTCATGTGGCGTAGGAGTGAATCCTTTGGGTGAACAGAAGTCTGGGGGCAGGAGGGTGAGTGCCACAGACATGCACCAGGGAGTCGAGTGGGTGGGGGGTGAGCTCTCCAGCCCTGCTGCCCCACAAAGCTTACATACATGGCTTACCTGACCCCCCCTCCCAGCTCTCAGCAGAGGAGGAGGAGGAGGAGGAGGAGGAGAGAAAGAGAAGAGAAGGTTAGTCCCTGAGACTTTTCACCAGGGTGGCAGGAGCCACTTGTACTCCCTGCAGCATTCCCAGTACTTAGGTCTGTGGGCACCTGACACATACCCACAGCCTGGCAGCAGGAGGGCTATGGGCACAGCTCATCCCAAGCTGTATCTCCAGAGCCACAGGTTCACTGCTGCCCTTAGGTGGCTGGGTAGTAGAGTGGGCACCTCCTCCACCATCACCTGGAGTAGGGAAGGAGGCCTGGTGTCGTGTAGGGTGTGGGGTGAGGCCATGGGATGAGAACTCTGGAAAAGGTGAGACAGGCGTGGGGGGGGGGGGGCAGCGGCTGCTGCTGTTGCTCACCTTGATGGCCTGCCCAAAGAAGCCCTTCCCCAGGACCTCCCCATGGATCAGGTCACATGGCCGGAAGATCTGTTGGGAGTAGCTGCTGGAGCAGCGGAGGGACTCTGAGCGGCTGATGTCTCGGCTGAGAAGCAGGGGCTCTTTGGGGGAGCTGGGGCCAGGGGACTTGGAGATGCTGTTACTGCGCCTGAGGATGAGGAAAGATGGGGTGGGGGAGGGAGGAGACATAAGTAGTTCTGAGACTAGCCAGAATACCAAAGGCAGGAACCTCAGGCATACCTGCTCATTCCACTGTCTGTAATTCAAGTGCTATTATTGGGAGACAGGGATCTTACATCAGACAGATGTGCTGTTTTAGGTCTGCATACATCAGCAGTTTATTTGAGCATAGGAGAAACACATTCATAATGGGAACTCTGGGAACTGGGGTGGAGAAATAGCTCAGTGGCAGAGCACACATGAGAGTTAGGGCATCTCCCCAGCACTGTGGAGTAGGCTGGACATAAGACTTTGGTTCTTTGCAGCTGGAACAATTAACTAGAGTCTACTAACTTACAATGTTCAGCATGGGACAGCACTAGGGAGAGCAATCTACTACCTCCCCATCCGCTTGATTCAAGGTACTAACTAGGTTAGAGTGACAGCATGCTACTGTTCCAAAAAAAAATGAGCCAATGGGATTTTAGATGATACAGGCATTTCGTCATTTTATTTTTTATTTTCTTTGAAGCCAGGTTTCATTAGATAGGCTGTCCTCCAACTCTCAATCCTCCTGCCTGCATCTTCCAACTGCTGGAATTACAGGCCTATGCCATCAATGCCCAGCTGTTTTGTATATTCTTGCACCTAGCCATATTTTCTAAATTTTAAGATATTAAACACCTTTAATTTTTTCCAGCAATAAATCTGTTTATATTTCCAAAAGCAACCAGTAATAGTAATAATTAATGATGGTTACTTTGTTTTTCTTGTTTTTGTCAGTAGCAGGGCTTGAACTCAGGGCCTAGGGTGCTGTCCTGAGTTTTTGGGCTCAAGGCTAGTGTTCTACTACCTGAGTCATAGCTCCACTTCTGGTTTTCTGATGGTTAACAAGAAATAAAGAGTCTCATGGACTGTCCTGCTCTGATTGGCTTCAAACCTCAATCCTCAGATGTCAGCCTCTTGAGTAGCTAGGATTACAGGTATGAGCCACCAGTGGCTGGCTGATGACTGTTACTTTGAAAGGAGGACAAGAAGGCTGAAGACCATAGAACTGCAGGTGAGCTGTAACCCTTAAAACCTCTCTGTGGTAAGCTCCAGTTTTGCTGGACCATCTACAGACTGCTGTAGCAGTTTCTGACTTGACTTACACCACAGGCTTGGTTGCTCTTGTTCTTTTGCTTTGCCTCCCTCGGATAGTGCTCATCAGAGCCTGGAAGATGAGTTACCCTCTCAGCCCTTCAAGTATCTGAGCAGCTCTCCAGCAATCCCACGTCTTCTCTTTCCCAAGCCATGCATTTCTAGCCCTTCTCTGTCCTCTGCTGAGAGGCAGCCAAGAGTGGCAGGAATGATCTACAGGGAGGGCCCTATTTGCAACAGATAGCCCCCAAGAAGGACTTGGCTAATCAGCCTGTTTGATCCAGGAGTGGATAAAGGACAAGATTCTTCAACAGCCTATCTCACGTTTGGTTTTTTTTTTTGGTGCCAGTTCTGGGGCTTGAACTCAGGTTGCTGGGTGCTGTCCTTGAGCCTCTTTGTGCTCAAGGCTAGTGCTCTACCACTTGAGTCACAGCACCACTTCCAGTTTTTGAGTGGTTAATTGGAGATAAGAGTTCTAAGGGGACTTTCCTGCCTGGGCTGGCTTTGAACCGTGCTCCTCAGATGTCAGCCTCTTGAGTAGCTGGGATTACAGGCGTGAGCCACTGGCGCCCGGCTCCTATCTCACGTTTACTGAGTGTTCGCTACTGTCTGCTGGCATTGTACAACTGTGCCCTTTCCTACATTTAATTCTTCGGTAATTGGTGGGACACAGCCACTTTTATCTTGCAACCCCACTTCACAAATGTAGACACAGAGGCTCAGAGAGATGAAGTGACTTATGAAGATGGAGGGCTCAGCTTGAAGGCCTGGAATGGGTAGTTCTGCCTGACAGCCAGTGCTCTTGACTCCTTTTCTGTAAGTCTCTACCTGGGACTTGAGCACAAGGTGACTGCTTTTCCCGTTTCCTTGACAGGCTCTGAGGTGTGAGATTACTGATCCAAGTCTGAGAACAGATTGGGTTCATCTTTCCCTTTATCATTTTCAAAATCCTTATGGGATGTTTAGTCTACCCTACCTGTGCCCTTACTTCTAGCTCTGAGCCCCGTTCTTCCTCCATGTTGCCTTTTATGGTGCAGTATCACTGATTCCTGTCCAGCTCTGGGTTTAGTAGACAGAGCCTGACCCTCTGGTTTCCAAGGAAACCTGGCAGACAGACCCTGGCTATGAACTGTGAGTCCCACAGGATAGCTGGGTCAGCACAATCCTCATAGCCTTTCCCCATGCCAGCTGGTTCTCTTCCTAACACTGTTGGCCTCCAAAAGCCATCACATCCTCTGAGGGTGGACATGGGACAGGACTGGGGTGGAAGGTGGCACCTCAGGGAGCGTCTCCTCAGTGTTCCCTCCAGATTCTCCTTGGTGTCCAGAGTGCTGAGGGTGTGCGATTGTCCGGCATTCTGCATGTGGGGAGAGAGCCGGGCATCTAGCCGCAGCTGGTCCAGGCGCTGGGGGACGGGGTCATGTTCAATTAACAGCTGAAGTGTCTGGCTGGTCTGGCTAATTGCATCTTCCACCTGTGGTCAAAAGCAGTGTAAGGCTCATTCCCGTTGGCTTCCCCAATTCAGGCCACCCACAGCCTGACATCCTATCACCTCCTCCCATCTGCCAGGTCACCCCTGCTACCTGGGCACCTGTAGGCTAACATAGAAGGTCGCACTAGTGACCACAGGCTTATGTCAAGAAAAAAGGCTGGGAGTGGGGAAGACAGGTGACACACACTGTACCTCCTCTACTCGGAGAGTGCGGACAGGGGTCCCGTTGATCTCCAGGATGCGGTCCCCAGGGTGAATGGCGTTACGGTTGTTGGGACTAATGTGCATCCGATTTACCCTATGACAGATGAGAATTGAGGCAGGATGAAGGCTTCTTAATAACTCACCTGTGCAGTTTTGCTTGTGCAAGGAAGCCTCTTCAAGTTCCAGGGACCCACTGGCCCACAAGGTTCAGGCCATCCACACAAAGAACTACATTCTTCCCATGATGCTCCATCTCAGTGAAGGGTATTGTCACTCACCCAGCGGCCCAAGCTAGAAACCTGGATAATATCTGCCCATCTGGAGTTCCCACTATTCCTCCCTGCCTCGCTCCTCTCCCCTCATCCACCTTTAGCAATTCTTCCTTCTTTCCATCACCATAGTTACCAACATCTCCCACCTTGACCTATTCAACAAGCCTCCTAACTGGTCTCTACAGCTCTGGGCTTTTCTCTTCTCCCATCCAGCCTCTGTGTACTCATGATCCCTCTAAAACACCAACCTGGTTTTGTTATCTTCCGCAGACCTGTGGGATTCTCATAGTCCAGGCCCTCCACAATTAATAGTCCCTTCTTGGCTACTCTCTCGATCTACATTAGATACTATCTCTGGAGACATCTGGTCTCCCTCTGCCCTGAACACAATCCCTTCCCCTCCTCATCTTTTGAGGAGAATACAGTAGACATCTTCCATCCCTCCCTGATTTCTTCAGCCTCAGTGCCTCTTGTCTATACTGTAAGATCCAGCCTCATGATCATTATACTGGAGGTCTACAATCATTTATAAGGCAACAAGCCAGTATTGTCTCATTATCCATGGAATTTCCTTGATCCCTGGCCCAGAGTCTTAACCTCCTTCCTCCTTTTCTCCACCATCCTCCACTTTATGTTCTTACCCAATAAAGCAAGAATTACAGCCAGGTACTTGGTGGCTCATGTCTGTAATCCTAGCTACTCAGAAGGCTGAAATCTGAGGATCCTGGTTTGAAGCCAGCTTAGACAGGAAAGTTTGTGAGATTCTTGTTTTCAATAAACTACTACAAAGCCAGAAGTAAAGCTGTGGCTCAAGTGGTAGAGCACCAGCCTTGAGCAAAAAGAAGCTTAGGGACAGCATCTAGGCTCTGAATTCAACACCCCTCCCCCCTCCAAAAAAAAGGAAAAAGAAAAAAAATGAAAAGAAAAAGAAAATAATCAGATGTACTGGGTCTTTGGCATGCAATAATGGACAAGGCAAGCTCATTCTGGAGATTGCAATCTAGTTGGAAGGACATATGATAAACTCATACACATTACTTAAGCAAGATCATTTCAAGGAGCAAATATGATCTGAAACCCAACACCTGACAGGTGAGAGGTTCTGGCTTTGAGCATCAGACAGAAAGCAGCTAAAGAACAGAGAACTCAAGTGCCAAGACCCGGGTGTGGTTACAGCACAGTGAGCTCAGGAGAAAAGTGGAAGATGGGGATGAAGAGAGCTCTGTGTGCCAGAATTTAGAGTCCTTCAAGGCCCATCTGTGGGCTCTGCGCAAGAACCTCTGCTGCAAGATACTCACTCTTTTACTTGCACAGTGGTAGCGTAGTTGGAGCAGACACTGTCCACAGACACGGAGAAGCCCCGTCGGCCCTCGGTGGTGGCTGGCATGGAGATGAGTGTGACAGAGTAGGGCAGCTGGTCCTGAACAGATTCGGTGGAGAGCCTCTCAAACATAGGTGCCAGCACCACTTCATTGTGGCACTTCCCACTAGGGAGAGGGCACAAAGCAAGCTGAGATCTTGGAGGCCTACCTGGAAGCCACCTAGTAACTACTGAACCTTTTGGCTTTAAATAACATACCGGCTACTCTTCTCCCTGTCTCACCACCTTTTTTTTTTTTTGGTCAGTCATGGGACTTGAACTCAGGGCACTGTCCCTGAGCTTTTGTGCTCAAGGATAGTGCTCTCTCGCTTTGAGCCACAGCTCCACTCTGGTTTCCTAGTAGTTTATTGGAGATAAGAGGTAAGACTTTCCTGCTTGGGCTGGCTTGGAACTGCAATCCTCAGATTTCAGCTTCCTGAGTATTCAGGATTACAGGTATGAGTCACCAGCACCTGGTTTATGCTGATTCTTGATGGCAACTCAGTTTTCTTGCTGTGCCTTTGACTCATAGTGAGAAACTTGCCCCAGCCTCTGTTCTCTCCCAGCCAACCCAGATAGCTTCCTTTGTTAACAAAGCTAAGTTGGATGGGGAGAGCTGGTAAGCTCTCCATGCCTTTCCTTTAATGTGGGCTCCTTTTTTGGTTGGTCGTGGGGCTTGAACTTGGCCTGGGCGCTGTCCCTCAGCTCTTCGGCTCAAAGCTAGCGCTCTATCACTTGAGCTACAGTGCCACTTTGGATTTTCTGGTGGTTAATTGGAGATAAGAGTCTCACAGACTTTCCTGCCAGGGTTGGCTCAGATCTCAGCCTCCTGAGTAGCTAGGATTATAGGCGTGAGACACTTGTGCTTGGCTGTGGGCTCCTTCTTAGAGTATCTTTTGCTACTCTGTCCCTCTAGGGATTACAGAGCAGAGTGAGGTTATTCTCATAGTGGGTAAGGATGGAGGACAGAGAGAAGTTATTGGCTCTGCTTACAGAGAGTTGTTAAAAACTACAGTGCTGGGATAGGATCTACCCCAATATCTTTCCACCCAACTCACACTGCCACCTGTCCTTCTGTCCACTCATGTTGGGGAGGACAGAGGTCATGGTCTTACCAGTAAAGCATGGCATGCTGTACCAGGGCATATGCATCCCCATCCTCAATGATCACCTTGCAGCTCATACAGGCAAAGCACTCTGGGTGGTACTTAAACTCCCCAGCCACCTGTAAGCAGATGGGGAGAAATAGTATAAAGGGAGGAAGCAAATAATCACTATTGCTAAGAGTGGAGGTAGAGGCGTGTGACCTAATCAGAGACTCAAGTCAATGAGAACAGGTTTCCCAGAAATAATCATCCCTACAAGAAAGGCTCAGTTTCTCCAGGAGAGCTGAATTTAAAATCCCTTGTTCAAAGCAAGGAGGGGAGGCAGAACCTCTCTGCTAATCCATTCCAGGTTCCCTGACCCTGAGCACAACTTAGGTGTATCCTGTTTTCAAACTGTGACAGTGTCCTTTAAGGTCTGTATCCCGCTGCATTGTCCTCTCCCTGCCTATCTTCCCCCACTTCCAACCTGGACTGTTAACTTTTTTTTTTTTTTATTTTGAGTGCTGGTAGTGGGGCTTAAAAATCAGGGCCTTTGCTTTTTTTGTTCAAGGCTGACATTCCACTACTTGAGCCACAGCTCCAATTCCTGGCTTTTTGATGGTTATTTGGAGATAAGAGTCTCACAAACTTCCCTGCCTGGGCTGGCTTCGAGCCACAATCCTCAGATCTTAGCCTCCTGAGTAGCTAGGATTACAGGCATGAACCACTGATGCGTGGAGTATCAAATCTTTTATTGGACTTGACACTAAGTGCTCAACAGACACTGATAATTGAGTGAATGAATGAATGCATGAGAAAGAAGAAGGGCTATAGGGAAAATTGGGAGCACTGTCAAAGGACTGTGATGCTCAAGGAGGGAAGACATAGAAGGATCTTGCTCACCATGACCGGCCCTGTCATGAGCAGGGAACACCCGTGGCAGAACTCTCCAAACTTCCCCCAGTAGTCTTTGTGGCAGTACAGTTTCCCATCTTTCTCGTAGTACCAGTTGGTGAGGGAATCCTGACATTCTGAACACCTGTGAGACAAGACAAGAAAAGAAATGTTTGGGATCTCTGGAACCAGGCCATTCTGGCTCCAAGTCTGACAGCAAAATGGACAGTCCTTTCTCCCACATCAAGGTGGACGGAGGAAGTTACAGAGTAGTGCCATCTCCCCAGGGAAAGCGGGTCAGTGTCCAAGACTCCAGAAGCCAGCTTCGTGCTGCCTGCCTCCTGCCTCTGGGAGCAGACATTGGGTCTTAAGAGTCTTCTGAGAATCGAGGAGGAGCCAAGAAGACTCCTCTAGAAAAGTGAACTTTGTTTTGCTGGCCCTGGGGCTTGAACTCTGGGCCTGGGCACTGTCCCTGAGCTTCTTTTGCTCAAGGTGAGTGTTCTACCACTTGAGCTACAGCACTACTTCTGACTTTTTTCAGTAGTTTACTGGAGATAAGAGTCTCAAAGACGAGGCTGGGAAGGTGGCTCAGTGGTAGAGCGCTTGCCTTGCATGCTCAAGGCCCTGGGTTCGATTCCTCAGCACCACATAAGAAAAAAAGAAAAAAGCCGGAAGTGGTGCTGTGGCTCAAGTGGTAGAGCATTAGCCTTGAGCTGAAGAGCTGAGGGACAGCGCCCAGGCCCAGAGTTCAGGCCCCACGATCGGACCCCCCCCCCAAAAAAAAAAAATAAGAGTCTCAAAGACTTTCCTGCCCTGGCTGGCTTTGAACCACAATCCTCAGATCTCAGCCTCCTGAGTAGCTAGGATTAAGGCATAAGCCAATGGTGCCCAGCCAGAGAAGTGAACTTTTAAAGAAAATGTGCATAACGTTTAATATATCTGCTGGGTGATGAGGCCCACCTTGTTAAGCCGGATGACTTTTGTGCCTCCGTCGTTCCTTTTCATAATTAGTTAATACAAACTATACAAACTAATGGGTTTCTTTAGACATTGTCATATGTGTTTATAACATGCTTTGACCCCTGTTAACCTTTCTGGTACCCCTTCCCTCTCACTGGTCCCCTATTCCTTCCTCCATTGTCTGCCTTCTAATTTCATGGTTTTTTGTTTTTTAACTCTAAATTCTACACATGACTGAGGGAATGGGTAAGGTTGGGAGAGATAGGAAGAATTATAAAAGGGGTGATGATATTGAAAATGGTGGGACAAAGGGTGAACAAATGCAGCAGTGATACTCACTAGACACTATGTTGAAAATGAACTATACAATTTGGGGGAGAGGAGGGGTTCAAGAGGGAAAAACCTGGGAGAAAAGGAAGGAAGAGATGACAAAAGGAAAGGTACTCATTACATAACTGTAACCCCTCTGTACATCACCTTTACAGTAACAATCAAATTGTTAAAAGATGCATTGCAGGGCTGGGAAGGTGGCTCAGTGGTAGAGTGCTTGCCTTGCATGCATGAGGCCCTGGGTTCGATTCCTCAGCACCACATAAGCAAAAAGAAAAAAAGCCGGAACTGGCACTGTGGCTCAAGTGGTAGAGCACTAGCCTTGAGCTGAAGAGCTGAGGGACAGCGCCCAGGCCCAGAGTTCAGGCCCCACGACCGGACCCAAAAAAAAAAAAAAAAAAAAGATGCATTGCACTCAGAAACTGACATGTTGAATTATAACTCCTTTGTACAACTAGTTAATGATCATAAAAATATAATTTAAAAAATGAAATAAATCTTTTACATAAGCCCCCCAAAAAGAAAATGTACATATAATCAGGTGAAGTGAGGAGAGAGGGGGAGAGAGAGAGAGAGAGAGAGAGAGAGAGAGAGAGAGAGAGCGCATATGCGTGAGCACGTGCTAGGATAAACTCTGATCTAGACAGGTACTGGGTCGAATAAGCATAATTACTTCTACCCTTTAAAATCTATTCATCATCAACAGTATTATTGATGGAGTGCTTTGGTCAAAAAAAAATAAGAAAAAAAGTTAAGCATAAAGAAGATCAGGCAGGGCTGGGAAGTTGGCTCAGTGGTAGAGTGTTTGCCTCGCATGCATGAGGCCCTGGGTTCTTCAATTCCCCAGCACCACATAAGCAGAAAAAAGCCGGAAGTGGTGCTGTGGCTCAAGTGGTAGGGTGCTAACCTTGAGCTGAAGAGCTAAGGGACAGTGCCCAGGCCCAGAGTTCGGCCCCCATGACCAACCAAAAAGAAAAATTCATGCAAATCTAGAACATAGGTCACTCTAAGACAACTAGCCTTGACTCTTCTATACAGTTAGCATGGAGGGGGAGGAAAGCAGAGTTTTTTTGTTTTTTTTTTTAAGATTCTCATTTATATGATGGACCTTGAATAAATCATGTTCAGTGAGGTAAGCCAAGCTCAGAGAGACAAAGGGTGCATATTTTCTCTCATATGTGGAAGCTAGATCTAAAATATACTGGGACATGATAAATTACAGGACTCTAGGCACTCACATACAGTGAGACCAAAGGAGGATACTTAGGGGAGGAACACAAAGGCACAATGCCTATGTGCCTCTGATCATATGAAACAGTATTTATCTAAATGAACTCCAGAAAATGGAAACAAAAGATTTTTTTCTTTGTTGCTGTTTTGGTTTTCTTTTCCTTATGTCTTGTTTGTTCATGTATCTTTGGGAGGGTAAGGGGAGACACAGAAATGGAGGGACAAAGGGTAAACAAATGCAGCAGTGGTACTCACTAGACACTATGTTGAAAATGAACTATACAACCTGTGGGTGGTGATAGGAGGGAAAAACGGAGAGAATTAGGGAAAGGGTAACATTGTCCAAAAGAAATGCACTCTTGGGGCTGGGAAGATGGTTCAGTGGTAGGGTGCTTGTCTCGCATGCATGAGGCCCTGGGTTCGATTCCTCAGCACCACATAAGCAGAAAAAAGCTGGAAGTGGCGCTGTGGCTCAAGTGGTAGAGCGTTAGCCTTGAGCTGAGGGACAGTGCCCAGGCCCAGAGTTCAAGTCCCAGGACTGGACCCCCACCCCCCAAAAAAGAAAAAAGAAATGCACTCTTTACCTGACTTATGTAACTGTAACTCCTTTGTACATCACTTTTATAGTAATAATTTAAAAAATAAAAAGAGGGCTGGGAAGGTGGCTCAGTGGTAGAGCGCTTGCCTTGCATGCATGAGGCCCTGGGTTCGATTCCTCAGCACCACATAAGCAGGAAAAAAAAAAAAAAGCTAGAAGTGGCCCTGTGGCTCAAGTGGTAGAGCACTAGCCTTGAGCTGAAGAGCTGAAGAGTTCAGGCCTACCACTGGACCCCCCCCATCCCCCCCAAAAATAAATATAAAGATTCTCATTCATATTCTCTCATCTCTTTCATCTTGTTATCTTACTGTGTTGTTCAAATTGGCCTGAAACTCCTGAGCTGTAGTGATCTGCCTTTCTCAGCCTTTAAGTAACTGGGACTACAGCTGGTGTCCACTATTCTCAGCTCTTACACAGAGGTTTGAAAAGTTTAGAGACACAGTAACGAATGCAATACCTCAAGTTTGGATTCAGTTTTGAATTAAAAAAAAATAGCCATGAGTGACATTTGGGGGACACTTCAGGAAATTTTAATTTGGACTAGATTATATTATGAAATTGCTGTTATTTTCTTCCATGTGATAATGATAGTTGTCATCCGGTTGAGAAGCTCCTGTTCTTGGTTAGGTCAAGTGTGTTTTCAGCCATGTCTGTATAATTTTATTCTTTCTTCTGAGACTCCCAGCACACAAAGCTAAGCTCCCTGGCCAATACCACCTCCTTCTAGTTAGACTCTATTGTTATGTTTTTTCTGAGATGGTGTCAATGTTGCCAAGGCCAGTCCTGGCTCAAAGGATCCTTTTGTCTCAACCTGCCAAGTAGCCTCTGCCACTGTCCTAGCTATTCTCTTTCTTCTTCTTTTTTTTTCTTTTTTTGTCATGGGGCTTGAACTCTGGGCCTGCGTGCTGTTCCTGAGCTCTTCAGCTCAAGGCAAGCACTCTACCACTTAGCCACAGCACCATTTCCAGTTTTCGGGTGGTTAATTAGAGGTAAGAGCCGCATGAACTTTCCTGCCCAGGCTGGCTTTGAACTGCGATCCTCAGATCTCAGCTTTCTGAGTCGGTAGGATTATAGGTGTGAGCCATTGGTGCCCGGCTTCTCCCTATTCTTATTTTGGTCAAGGCCTTGAGCGAACCACCCTTGCCACACTCTTGCTTCTCAGAGGAAGCGTGGGGCTGCCTTTTGGTGGGAACGCTAGCTCTGACATTTAAATGGTTGTACCTTCTTAGGCAAGGTATTTCACCTCTCTGGCTGTTGCCACATCTGTAAATTGAACTGCTCTGAAAATTAATGAAATAATACTTATTAAATGTATAGATTGATAGCTTATGTATAAAAACTTAGTACAGTAGGAACTCAATAAATGTTAACTGTACTTAAAGATGATAATGATAATGTAATGGTAGTTTACATTATTGGCTACTACTGTTATTAACTGGGTAGCTTTGGATAATTGCTTTTTTTTTTTTTTTGCCAGTTGTGGGGCTTGAACTCTGGGCCTGATTGCTATCCCTCAGCTCTTCAGCTCAAGGCTGGCGCTCTACCACTTGAGCTATAGCGCCACTTCCGGTTTTCTGGTGGTTTATTGGAGATAAGAGTTTCAGGGCTTTTCTTGCCTGGTCTGGCTTTGAACCTGGATCCTTAGATCTCAGCCTCCTGAGTAGCTAGGATTACAGGCATGAGCTACCGGCACCAGGCTTGGATAATTTCTTATAGCTTTACTGACAAAATTTAGCTAATAACTACAAGTCAGTGCTAGTGGTTCATGTCTGTCATCCTAGCTCCTCAGGAGGCTGAGATCTGAGGATAACAGTTCAAAGCCAGTCTGGACAGAAAAGATAGTAAAACTTTTGTCTCTAGTTAACTAGCAAAAAGCTAGAAGTGGAGGTATGGCTTAAATGATAGAGCACCAGCCTTGAAGAGAAAAAGCCAACTAAGAGTGCAAGGCACTAGCATCAAATAAACAAATAAAAGCAACTAAAAATAGCAATTGTGAAGACTAAATCAATTAAAGTAGGAGAAAGTAT